ACCTATGTCTGTCCATAGGGAAGTAGCTGAGTAATTTATAACAAATCCACATTGTGAAAATAAAAGTGGTTATTAAAAAGAACAAGGAGCAGTGGCGCACACCTGTGATCCTAGTACTAGGTAGGCTGAGGCAGGAGGATGGCCATGAGTGAGTTCAAGGCCAGGCTGAATTACATAGCGAGACCCTGTCTCAAAGAAAGAGAGAGAGAGAGAGAGAGAGAGAGAGAGAGAGAGAGAGAGAGAGAAAAGAAGTTGTATCCTTGGGTGTTGACTTGGAAAGATATACATGATAGGTCTTTTTTTCAATCATCTTATGGAAATTTAAACATACACAAAAGGGCCGGGGATTTAGCTCAGTGGTTCTGCTGCCTGCCTTGCAAACTCAAGGTCGAATCCTAGTACCAAAAAAAAAATAAACAAAAGAAGAATGAAACAAAAACTGGCAGTGAGCACTCAAACATTCACCACCTACATTCTACCATTAACATTTTACTATTCTTAGCTCAGCATGGTGGGGCATGTCTGTAATCCGGGTGTGTCTGTAATCCCAGCCCTCTTGGAAACTGAGGCAGGAGGATCCCAAGTTTGAGCACAGCCTGGGCAACTTAGTTAGACCCTGTGTCAAAATGAAAAAATAGGGCCAGGGATTTAGCTCAGTGGTTCCGTCACCTGCCTCGCAAGTGCAAGGACCTGAGTTTGATTCTCGATACAAATAAATAAATAAATAAATAAATAAATAAATAAATAAAAGAGCAGAAGGTGCAGCTCAGTACAAAGGCCCTGACTTTAATCCCCTGTACTACAAAAATAAATAAATAAATATCTTTTAAAGTTTTATACAATGGGGCCAAGGATGTATCTCAGCAGTGCAGTGCCTGCCTGGTAAGCACGAGGCCCTGAGTTTGATTCCTGGTACCAAAAGAAAGATTTTCTTTTCTGGTACTGGGGATCAAACTCAGGACCTTGTGCTCCTGAGGCAGACATGGAGCCACTGAGCTAAATCCCCGGGCTGCAAAAATAAGATTTTAAAAATAGTTTTATACAATGGAATACTACTCTACCATAAAGAAGGATGAGACTCAGACATTTATAGCTAAATGGATGGACCTTGAGACCATACTCTTAAGTGAAATAAATCAGACACACATGTTCAAATACTGCATTGTTTCTCTGGTGTGAGAGATCAAAAGTGGAAATAAGGACCAAAATGTATAATAGATATTGGGAAATGGGAAGAAAATGTTCAAATGGGAAGGGGAACAAAGGAGGAAGGAGGGAGAAAGGAAGGAAGGGACAAGAAAAAAAAATAGAAGGAAAAAATGGAAACAAAGCTTTTGTACATAGGGAGGGGAGGGGGGAAAGGGGAAAAAAGAGGCGGGATATATCACATACAGGTGCTAATTCCCTATGATGAGTGTTATCATTATGTATGCCTAAAATGTACCAATAAATGTTTTGCTATAAATTTTTTTAAATTACTATTTATTAATTACTTCAGTGGTCCTGGGGATGGAACCCAAAGCCTTGGGCGTGCTAGACAAGCACTCCACTGCCAAGCTAGGACACCCACTCCCTTATTACTTTTCTCACAGATCCATGAAGCTGTCCATGATGGATTTTTTGGGTACTGGGAATCGAACTCAGGGCCTTGCGCTTGCCAGCCAGGTGCTGCATCGCTGAGCCACATCCCTGGCCCCTCCATGATAGATTTTTAGGTGAGAAAAATGAGATGCAAGGAATACAGCATCAATTCCATTTTAATAAGAGAAAGAAAAGATAAGGATTGCATTCTATAGTACGTGTGTTCATAAAGTCTAGCAAAAAGTATCCAAAGAGACACTGACTCAATACAGGTTACTGCAGGGTAAGGATTGGAAGGGGAGAAGAGCAGATTCTTTTATTTCTCTGCTCGTCTTTAACATTGAGTTCCTTGTGAAAACTGTCAAAGCCCCAGTAAAGAGTTTTAAAACACTTCTTTGGTAATGATGACACAAATAGTGTAGTTCAGGTCTTGACATCCTCGTAAAGGGAAACTGAGTCAGAAGGAGAGCTCAAGCTGCAGGAGGTGGGCACATTCCCTGAGCCCGATCCGGGGCCCTTGCCCAGGCTCACCCCATGCCCTGTGCTGTGTACAGGAGTAACCAGGCACCTGCATGCACCTTGCAGTGGGCAAACACACACAGAGCCACACAGGTGTGCTGCTGTCCATCTCCACACACACCTTGGGTTCCTGTCTGCCCTGCCCCGGAAGCAGGTGTGTGGCATGCTGTGGGGCCCCATCCCCACCAACAGCCCCTCCTGAGGGGCATTCTGGGCACCTGGTGGAGCTGCAAGGTGGTCCTCCTGGTCCCTGCTCATTCACTTGGACATCTCAATCCCCAGGGACAATCTCAACCTCACCCAAAGCATCCATGGCCCTCTCCTCATTCCGACATTCTTTTCACCAACAGACATTGATGGGTGCCAAGATGCCAAAGGGCATTAACCTCTAGGACCCCCCCGGGCTTGTGGGGTGACAGGCACAGGAGCAGTGCAGTGGCTTTGAGGTATTGAGGTGGCACCAGGGCCAGCAGGGCATAGGGTGGCTGGGGGTGGTCCTGGAGGGGGCACTACCAGAGCTGAAGGGAGGGGAGGCGGGGCTTACCCTGGGGGTTGTCCAGTGGGCTGTGAGTGGAGGCCACAGTCCTTACGACGTGGTCAGAAGGACCTCCAGGAGGGCCAGCAGGAATACAGGTCAGGATGTCGCTCCCCCAGCCAAGGCCCCCAGGAAGGGAGGCATTGGCCAGGGGAGCAGGAGTGGGGATGGCATTGATGGGGACCTCCCTCCTCTGTCCCCCAGCCCTCCTCATAGTCTCCTTTTCAGTGAGAGCTTAGGGCATTGTTCCACCTTTGTAAAGAGTGGGATCGAGTGACAAAGCCGGGTGGGTGGGCAAGTGGCCCAAGAGGCCTCTTCTCTCCCGGGCAGCATCTGCATGGGGGCGGGGCCGGTCCACACCCCCCACCTCTGGCTTCCCAGGAGCTGGCTGTCACCATGGTGACAGGCCTGGCATCCCACAGCCCCTGGGGCACCCTCCCCACCATGGCTGCCAGAGGAATGGCCCTGGCTCCTCTCTACAAAACATGGGTCCTAGGCCAGTCCTGCAGTGGGCATCCCAGCAACTGACGCTCCCAGGCCGGCTGCTAGTAGAGGGACAGCTCCGGAGCCCTCTGCATGGACTCGGTGACCGGTGACCTGGGACTCACAAGGCAGGCTGAGCCACTTTCTGGTCCATGCCCCATGCCTCTTGGGCTGCTAGGAGGGAAAAGATGTGGTCCGTGGTCCGTGATCCTGGGCAGCTGCTGGTATCACAGGGGAGAGGCCATGGGGGCCTGCTGCTGACATGTGGGGAACCTCCCAAGGGGCCACCCCTGCCATGCCTCCTTGGGAAGTTCAAGGTCTTTCTAGCAGCTGTACCTCTTGCAGCTCACACAGGCTGAGAGCCTAGTGGGTGCTGGGCACAGGGCAGGCTGCTTCTCCCCATCCCTTGGCTCCCAATCTCTTGGGCCCTCTGGGAGCATGAGGGGCTGGGTGCATGCCAGTGACAGCATATGTCTTTCTTTGTCCCTTTCTGGCTCTAGTGCGGGGCTCAGGGGAGGGAGCACTGACAGGCATGTGTGGGAAGGGACGGCCCGCTTTTCTCACCATCACTCTCAGACTCCTCCCTGCATCCCAGGCATGTGCAGGCAGGCACGCTGAGACAGGTGGGCAGCGGCCTTCCTCCAGTAGAGGTGACCCTGATCCCCAGCCCCGAGCTTGGTGAGCTGTGCAGTCCCAAGAAAATCTCTGAGTGCTCCGAGCCTCGGCTTCCCAGCTGTGAAATGGGCACAGGATTCCTTGCAGGAATGTTAGAAAGGTCACTGTCAAAGGCAGTGGGAGTTTCCCAGGCCCCCTGCAATCCTGGCTCATTTTCTAAGGATCCCAGGGGAGCTACTGGGGTGCCTGGCCCTGGCCTGGGCTCGAATGTGGAATCTGAGTCCCAGTGCTTTAGGGATTCCCAGGCCAAGGAGAAGGGGACAGAAGGGCCTGGGACAGTCTCTACAGGGCCGCCTGTGCAGGCCAGGGGCACTTGGTTTCACATGCAGAACTACCCAGAAACCGTGGCCGATTCTAAGCAGGTCCCGGAGGCCTCAAGGGGGCATCCTGGGGTGGGGTGCCCGGGAAATAACACGGCTGGGGGTAGTGGCGTGGTGGCCTTAAGAAATGAGTATGGGGTCCAGTGTCAGGCAATAACAAAGGGGACATTTAGTAGCTCTATGGCCTTGGGTATGTCACGCCTCTCTGAGCCATGGTTTCCCCACCTGGAAATGAGGATGACATTCTTGGATGGCTGAGCAGATGCCATGAGGTCGAGTCTGCAGCGGGATCAAAGGCAGAGGTGTGCAAAGGAAACTGAGGCTCCGAAAGGGGAGCCCAAAGTCACATGCAACCAGCAGAGGCAGAGGCTGAGCTCCATCGGCACTGAGCAGAAACCCGAGGCTTCCCGAAGCATGGAGGCCTTGGACAAGTTCTGCCCATCTGAAAAGAGATGACCCAGTAGGTGGGTGTATGCAATAGAATCTTTCCGCAGACAGTTCGTAGATCTGAACGGGAAGGGAAGGAGATGGGACAGATAAGCCACTTATCTGCTCCTGGGTCCCCTTAGGGACTCCAGCGTGGCTTCGAGAGGAGCGGCGCCTTTAAAGCCCAGTGGGGGCGTGTCCGGTACACGACGCTCCGCCTTCTGGGCGTGACCTCCAAAAGGCCCGCCCCCGAGCTTGTAGCCGCGGCCCCTCGGAGACCGGGGCGGGTCCCGGCTCCGCTGCGACTTGAGTAGCGGTGGTCGGCGGGCTCGGCGTCTTCCGTCCCCGGGGCGGCTGCCGGGACACACGTGGGCGGCTCGCGATGGCCCGCGCCCCGCGACGTGGCGGGCAGGCACGGGGGCGCGGGACGGCGCGGCCCAAGTGAGCCGGGGCCGCGCTCCCGCCCTCGGCCCGGGATGGCCGTGTCGCCGCCGCTCCGCCGGGCGCTGTTGCTGTGGCAGCTGCTGGCGACGGTCGGCGCGGCGCTGGAGATCGGCCGCTTCGACCCGGAGCGCGGGCGCGGGGCGGCGCCGTGCCAGGCGATAGAGATCCCCATGTGCCGCGGCATCGGCTACAACCTGACCCGCATGCCCAACCTGCTGGGCCACACGTCGCAGGGCGAGGCGGCCGCCGAGCTGGCCGAGTTCGCACCGCTCGTGCAGTACGGCTGCCACAGCCACCTGCGCTTCTTCCTGTGCTCGCTCTACGCGCCCATGTGCACCGACCAGGTCTCCGCGCCCATCCCCGCCTGCCGGCCCATGTGCGAGCAGGCCCGGCTGCGCTGCGCGCCCATCATGCAGCACTTCAACTTCGGCTGGCCCGACTCGCTCGACTGCGCGCGGCTGCCCACGCGCAACGACCCGCACGCGCTCTGCATGGAGGCGCCCGAGAACGCCACGGCCGGCCCCGCCGAGCCCCACAAGGGCCTGGGCATGCTGCCCGTGGCGCCCCGGCCCGCGCGGCCCCCCGCAGACGCAGCCCCGGGCCCGGGAGGAGGCGGCGGCGGCGCCTGTGAGAACCCCGAGAAGTTCCAGTACGTGGAGAAGAGCCGCTCGTGTGCGCCGCGCTGCGGGCCCGGCGTCGAGGTCTTCTGGTCGCAGCGCGACAAGGACTTCGCGCTCGTCTGGATGGCAGTGTGGTCGGCGCTGTGCTTCTTCTCCACGGCCTTCACCGTGCTCACCTTCCTACTGGAGCCTCACCGGTTCCAGTACCCCGAGCGCCCCATCATCTTTCTCTCCATGTGCTACAACGTGTACTCGCTGGCCTTCCTCATCCGCGCCGTGGCGGGCGCGCAAAGCGTGGCCTGCGACCAGGAGGCGGGCGCGCTCTACGTGATCCAGGAGGGCCTGGAGAACACGGGCTGCACGCTGGTCTTCTTGCTGCTCTACTACTTCGGCATGGCCAGCTCGCTGTGGTGGGTGGTCCTCACGCTCACCTGGTTCCTGGCGGCCGGCAAGAAGTGGGGCCACGAGGCCATTGAGGCCCACGGCAGCTATTTCCACATGGCGGCCTGGGGGCTGCCGGCACTCAAGACCATCGTTGTGCTGACTCTGCGCAAGGTGGCGGGGGATGAGCTGACCGGGCTCTGCTATGTGGCCAGCATGGACGTGGCAGCGCTCACGGGCTTCGTGCTGGTGCCCCTCTCCTGCTACCTGGTGCTGGGAACCAGCTTCCTCCTGACGGGCTTCGTGGCACTCTTCCACATCCGCAAGATCATGAAGACAGGTGGCACCAACACAGAGAAGCTGGAGAAACTCATGGTGAAGATCGGGGTCTTCTCCATCCTCTACACGGTGCCCGCCACCTGCGTCATTGTCTGCTATGTCTACGAACGTCTCAACATGGACTTCTGGCGCCTTCGGGCCACAGAGCAACCGTGCACACTGGCCACTGTGCCCGGAGGCCGCAGGGACTGCTCGCTGCCAGGGGGCTCCGTGCCCACCGTGGCTGTCTTTATGCTTAAAATCTTCATGTCTCTGGTGGTGGGCATCACCAGCGGTGTCTGGGTGTGGAGCTCCAAGACTTTCCAGACCTGGCAGAGCCTGTGTCACCGCAAGATGGCTGCTGGCCGGGCCCGGGCCAAGGCCTGCAGGGCCCCCACAGGCTACGGCCGTGGCACCCACTGCCACTATAAGGGCCCCACGGTGGTCTTGCACATGACTAAGATGGACCCCTCTCTAGAGAACCCCACACACCTCTAGCAACACAGCCCTGGCTCCAGGTGGTGGCTGCCCCTCCTTGCCCCCCTCTTCCTCGCCACCCCCCTGCCCCAGACAGCTGACTAGCAGCTGTCCAGCTGTCAAGGCCAGGCAAGTGAGTGCAGGGGGCTGAGGATCAGGGACCCAGTAAGGCTCACACCCTTGCGCCCCCTAATGCAGGGGGTGGCCTGCCTGAGTTCCCCGAGGGCCCTAGGAGAGGATGAGGGGGCAGAGGGCATGATCCAGCAGGGAGTTTATTTAATGATGTAATTTATTGTTGTGTTCTCTGGAAGCTGTGACTAGAATAAACCCCTGTGTGGCACTGCTGACTCCTCTTTGGGCTGGAAAGGGGGCAGGTAGGAGGGTGAGGGTCCTGCAGGAGGCTCCCTGTGTGCACCGAGTTGGGGGGCTCACCCCAGGCCCCTGACCTCTGGTTCCCCACCAATCAGGAGGAAGTTCCCTTGCAGAACAGCTGTATTTTTCAAGTCCTGGACACTGTGTGTGTGTGTGTGTGTGTGTGTGTGTGTGTGTGTGTGTGTACATGTGCATGCGTGCACATGCAAGCGCATATGTGGGGGGGCATTTTTGTGCATTTGCTGCCCTCTGCATCTCTGGGGCCCGAGTAGCATGTCTCTGAAGCGGGTTTGGGATGCCTGCCAGGATACCCAGGGAATCCCTAGGGATGGCATTGCCACCTGGCCCTGGGGTGTCTAACCCATTTGGGGCCATGAGTAAGTTTTCCCTTTCTCACACTTTGCTTCGCTCATTTGTTAGATTTTTTTATTTTTTTGCTACGGGGGATTGAACTCAGGTCCTTGCGCTTGCGCAGCAGGTGGCAAAACCACTGAGCTAAATCCCAGGCCCTGCTTCGCTCATTTGTGCAGCAAATGAGGGCATCAGCCTGTCTCCAAGTTGTCTCAAAGGTTGCCTTCCCTGGTGACTGAGGCTGGAGGGTGACTGTCCCCATGAAATGGCTGGTGTGTCCCTTTCCCTGCTCGGGGCCCTCCCATCCCTGGGTAGGGCCAGACTGGCCGGGAGCCATCTGGGTAACACAGACATGACCTGCGAAGAGGAGGCCTGGAGCTGAGTGGGAATCTGGCCCCGGCTCTTGAAGCAGTGGCAGGATTGGGGTGCTGGTGGCAGCTGTGAGTGGGGGAAGGTCTGGAAGTTTGCAGAGCTCCACCTGGGGCTTTTGCACACTCATGTGACAGGAGGTAGGGAAAGGGACTGTCTGGGTCCTGGGGAAGGAAGCTCAGGGCTGGTGGGGCCTCTCTCAGTTCTGTCCCCTCGTAAGCCAGTTGGGTCTGTGTGGGTATCCGAGAGGCCTCTTGTTGGCCTGGGATCAGACCCCAGGACCCCGTCTTGGCATCTGCCTTAGCGGACTTCGGCCCGGGTGAGGTCTTGGTGAGTGCCCCTGGGTGTACTACACAACCAGCCTTCAGCATCAAGAGATGCAAAGGGCCCAGCCCTGCTCCCGGCCCTTTAGAGCCAAGGGGAGGCCCAGGCTGGGGAGGAGCCTCTGTGCCCACCTTGCCTGCTTCCTGTCAGTAGGAGCGCTGAACCCCAAAGGCAGGACCTCTCAGGAGCTCTTTGCACTGCGCCAGCGGCTTGTAGGGGCAAGCAAGTCTGAAGAGAAGCAAACAGGTTGGGTCAAGCTCCCCAACAGGTCGAGGGGGTTAAGGAGGAACAGAACTGACCTGACCCCCAGGGGAACTGTAGCTGTGACCCCCTCCCCAACCTCTGCAGGTCCTTGCACTGGGCACACCCTCGTCTCACCCTTCTCTTCCTGCAGAGCACACCCGTCTGTGCCTTTGAGGCTGACTGACCCGAGCTCCTTGTAACTCCCCGGAGAGTGAGGAAGCTTCCTGGAGGCCACCGGGTGTGTGTGCGTGGGGTGCCCTGCTGGGACAGGATTCCAGAGACCTGGGAAGAGAGAAGCCATGGGGGTGCGCATCCAAAGGGTACCTTGAGCGCCCTCTTCCTTGCCAGTGGCTTGTGGTCATGTTCACTCAGCAGGAACAAGCCTGGTGCTGGCTTTTGGGGTGACAGGGAGAAGAGTTGGGGAGTGCAGAGGACTGCAGTGCAGGGTCTGAAAGGCAGGTCCCAAGGGGCTCTGCTTTGGGGCTGGGATGGTTCACAGCAGCCAGGACTGGGGAGTCCTGGGGCCTCCTCTCAGGCCTGGAAGCTCCAAGGAAGGGTCCCAGACCGAAGAAGAAAAAGAGGAAGGAAGCACACACATGTCCTAATGACCTTTGCCAGGTCTCCCACCTGGATCGTCCTTTCCCGTTTACAGACCCAAGTGTGGGAGAGGGCTTGGCTGGCTCAAAGTCAGAGTCAGGAGTGAGGGTGCACAGGGAGTTGAGCCTAAGTCTCCCTCGGAAACTTGTCATCTCTACCTCGGATTTGACTGGGTGCCCTGTGAGGGACAGCAAGGTGTGTAACTTAGGGAGGTCATGTCCAGAGCTGTGCGGGGGATGGGTGAGGAGCCCCACTCCTTTCCCACAGCGGGACCTTCTTGTCCTAAGCCCCTAAAAAGGACACTTCAGAGCCAAGCTGCAGTACCTCAGAAACTGACATGGCCACCCCCTCCCTCCCCGAGATGTCCTTCATCTTCAGGGTGCAGTGGCCCAGGCCCAGCCTGTCTGGTGGGTCTGAGCTTGTGCATGTGAGGGTCTGAGTTAAGAGCTTCCTAGCCCTGCTTCTGTGTCCACAAGGGCCCAGGGCCGGGGCTCACCCCCAGAAGTGGCTCCCTGAAGGAGGAAGCCGCCAGCCCTGAGGAGTCGCTAAGGCCCAGGTAAGGAGTTAGGACAGGGCCACAGGGGAACCTCTTCTGCCAGGACTGGCTGGTTGGTAAGGCGCTTCCTCTTCAGGCTGCTTTAGAATCCAGGTGTGAGGTGGAGAGAACACCAAGGATGAGGATGCAGAGTGGTAGGTCCCAGGTGACTCCCGGAAGCAGCAGTTCAGACCATCCTTAGGAATAGTCTCATGTCCCCATCTGCAGTAATCACTTGGTAATCACTAAATGGCTTCTTCCTCAAGATTACAGCCCGGGCAGGGAGCAATGTGCTGAGATGAGCAACATCAGGACCAGACCTTGGAGGCATGACCCGTGGAGGCTGGGAATGCCAAGTGCCAACTGTTGTGCAAAGTATGTTCAGAGGTAAGGCTGGGGATGGTGGTGCATGCCTGGAATCCCAGCATGTGGAGGCTGAGGCAGGAGGCTTGAGTTCAAGGCCAGCCTAGGAAACTTGGCCTGTCTCAGGGAACAGCTCTTCTCCAGAGCTGGAGGCTGGAGCACGCATGATGTCGGGAAGCCTGTTTCCTCCTGAAGGCCTGAGCATCCCTAAGTGCCCAGTGCAGGCCATCTGAGGGCCATCTTCTCCAAGGCCAGGAGGCCAGCAGCAGAGCCTGCACCCGGTGCACCAATGCTTTTCTCGTTACTCTAGCTCAGGTGGCTGGGCTGGGGAGCTCCACTTCCCAGTAAACAGCATCATAGCAGTGGCTCAGCAAAATCTTTGTATTCCACCGGCAGGTTGCTGCCCTGCAGCGACCTACTCAACTGCTCAAATCAACTGGACTTTAAAAATAAATGAGTATAGGGCCAGGGATTTAGCTCAGTGGTTTCGCTGCCTGCTGCGCAGGTGCAAGGACTCGAGTTCAATCCCCGGTACCAAAAAAAAAAAAATAAATAAATAAATGAGTATAAATAAAACAGGAGTGGCTGTGTGTTGGAACAGTGCAAGCTGGGCACATGGGGATTCATTATTCTTTTCTGTGTGCTCGAGATTTTCCTTGAAAAATGTTTTCCAATACTGTGAATTTCCCAAAATTTAAAGGACCACACAAATTTCCATAATGAAGTCTTGAAGGATACTCTCTCTCTAGCTGCAGATGAAAAATTTGGAGGTTTGAGATAGGCAAGGCCACGAGAGGCTTGGAGGCCATGGTCCACCTACCCAGGAATAGGGATTACATCCATCCCTTTCCCCCCAGGCTGGGGTGCAATGGGTGGGGCCAACCTGTCCAGAGGCTCTGGCCTGGTCAAGGGAAAGCAGCTCCCCAATTGCCACTACCCCAAGAGCACAAAGAAAGAGCTACCACAATTGTTTCTTCCTTATAAACACAGGTACATAATGTTTATTTGAAATCCCAATTTATTACAAGTTCACCCTTTAATGGGGCCCTTCCTCCTTAAAGACAATTTAAAAACCAACCAACAATGCAGGTGTCACTGCAGCGGGCACACAGGATCCTCACTAGCACAAGGACAGACTGGACCTAGGATAAGAAGCAGGAGAAGGCGGTGGTGGCTGGGACTATGACGCTGTAAGGTCAGTGCTCACTCCAAGCCTACAGGAGAAGGGACGGTGACCCACCCACCAGCCACTGGAGCAAATTCCCAAGTCCCTGGGCAGGGAAGAGGGGAGACAGGATCACACCTGAAGTGTCAGGTCAAGAGGCTTTATTTATCTCGGTCCAAGGAGCGGCAACTGTGGGCTAAAGAGCTGAGGTGCTCACATTTTCCAAATTCAAGGTTGATAGAAAAGAAAATTAAACCCTGTCTTATACGTTTATCAAAAATCTGTCATAAAAGGGAAAGACTACAAACTTCTGCCTACCTGTAACAACTAGGCTAGCCTGGCCATAGGAAGGGCTCTCACAGAGGTTCCGGCCACTCCTCTCCACCTGCTGAGATGCACAAGTCACAAGAGCTCCAGTCTGAGGCCAGAGTGGGGACTCAGGAGGCAGGCACAGAGGCGGAAAGAGCCACTATAGTAGGCAAACGGCCCAGAGCACCACCAGATCCCACTACCTGCTTGCGAGGACCTCCGACCTAGCTTCTCTGAAAATGCAGGCTGGCCGAGGAAGGATGGGGGTGTAAAGCAACACGTCATCATAGAAATTGTACTGTACATGTGCCAAAGCAAGATGACAAATATTTTACAAGATGTTCTTTATACAGTATCACTGCTAAAACAAGCAACTTTTAATAACTAGAAAAGTCAATTTAAAAAACGTCAAACATTACAGTCTTCCTGCTCTTCTGCTCCCTAAGAGCTTGTCTGGTGTGTGGGTGGGCTGGGCTCCAACACCCTCTGGCCAGATCCACGAAGTAAAGGTTATAAGCACGATTACAAGCAGGACGCCAGTCTCGAGTGAAGTGCCTTAGTTTTTTGTTTTCTGAGGCGGTGAGGTGAGATGGGAAGAGGGAGGAAGCTGTCACAAAGAAGGGGAGGGGTATTCAGGAATGGCTCCAGGGAATGTCCCTTTACTCTGCCAAGCTCAAAAGACCACAACTGTCCCATGATGCTGGTGAATATAGGGTTCTGCATGGCACTCACTGATACTGTCACCTGAGAGGGAGAAGGTGGAAC